TGGCCAGAGGCACACAGTGCTGTGACTGCATGGCTTTCACAGAAACAGGGCAGAAACTCCTGAAGGGATGAAAATGACTTTTGCTTTGTACAAGACAAGCAAGCCCTTGGCATACTTGCACTTGTGGCCCTTCTGTTTTAGTCCCAGAATGGCTTTTTACTGAGAGCTGGCCTAAGATAACCTGCTCCTGCAGCATTTACAGACTCCTAAAATATGCGTGCAGGCAGTCTGGTCCTGCTACAGTCTGTGAAGCCTCTGCCTCCCCCTGCTTCTGATTGAGACAGATTTAGTGAACCCAAATGTAGGTGTTGATGCACAAGAAGCCCATTCTCCATCCTGCTGAAGTCAAACACTGAAAATACTCTCTATCTTGAATATTATTGCATATTATATGCCACTTTTCATTCACTGGATGTATGTAACAAAATGAAATGAGAGTGATGCCTCTGTTTAAGAATGAGTGCAGCCAGTTCTGAGCTCACATGCATCATCAGTATGTCAGTGAAATGTTTTATAGCAGCTTTAGAGGCAAAGAAGTTAATCAAATCTAGATTAGAAATCACCTTGCCAGCACCATGAATTTACAAGGAGCTGTAAGATACAGAGGTGAGAGAAGAGGGAAAACAAAGAAAAAAAACCATTAAACTGAGAAAAAGAAACAAAACAAAATAGATATGTGGTATGAACTGAGGGGTTCTTCCTCCTACCTTTTTTGGGCAGGTCTGAAGCTCAGTCGTGGCTGTCATGATTTCTTGTCATCACACATATGTATTGTTCCCCTGGATTCCAACATTTCAGGCTTTTCACTGGGGATGAGATGAATCATTTTATGTTTGAGAATGTACAATGCAGATTTCTAGGAGCAATCTGATCAAGTTATTTACAATGGTTCATTTTATACCCCAAGAAGGGCATTGCTTATTTTTTAGTCTTCTCATTAATTTTACATTATTTTGCCTGACTGACAATACCAAGAAATTTAGGTAAAGTGGGCATCCATATAACCTGCGTGAGAGTTGTCCAGATCAAGAGCATTGCTATTTTCTGGTTAGTCAAAGAGTAGACATGTGGTAAATTGGTAAATACCAAACCCAAAATATATTCTGTATCAACTGCATGCTTTTTTGATGATGATGACCTTATATGCTCATTAACCTTGCCAAGAAGACATTATTGTCCATGATATTTTACACAATATCCCTTAAAGGTGCTGTGGTACAGAAAGTCTGCAACTTGGACCAAATATTAACCTATTTTGATTACTGAAATAGTCAGTTCCAGCAGTAATTGTGTAGTCTTTACTTTAGGGATTTAAAGCCATGCAATAGCATCCAATAAAGTTGCTGCTAATGGTGCAGTATTGATTATGATGGCTGCTGGCCTTACTAAATTTTTACTATATAGGCAACATGAAAGTTTTCTACTTTATTTAACAAGTGTGTTGTATAACTTGTACTAGTAGGTGGTAATGATAATTTCCCCTTCCCTCCTTTTAACCATGAGAAAGTCCAGTAATCTTCTTTTCCCCAAAGACTCATTGAAGGGTTTGACAAGAAACAGAATCCATTGTAGTTCTAAGTTGCTTTCTATCTTATTTGATAGACCTATTTTCTGAAGGATAGCAGTTTTTTATTATAGCCAAAAGATTGGCTTTCTCTTCCAAAGACTTTTATGATGGCTGAGATGATTTTTAGCTTTTTTCATCAGGTTCTAAAGGGATTGGAGCATAAGATGTCTGTAGCATCTCATCTATAATGTAGGATTACTCCTACCATTAGAAAGTTACTGTGTCACAACCTGGAGTAGCTGCTCTTAAATGCATAGTTTTGAAAAATAAAAGAAAACAAAGATTGTGAGAAAAAAAATACCAAGCAGCATCTCATTGAAGGCATATATTTAAAAATTTTTGATAGGGTGGAGGTTAACTAGATGAGATTATATGGAAAGGATTATTATGGAAAGGGTCTAATTCTGCTATTACGAAGAACTGGAAGATGGCAATTCTCAGGGATGTTTGAGCATTATTTTTCTTGAATATTGTACCAGAAAGTTTATATTTAAATTGGAAAAGGCTGATGGACTTAGCTGTCTGCTAAATAAGCTGTTGAAACTTCACCACAGCTCTTGTGCAAGAGAGAAACAGCCCTGGTGAAAATCATTCCTGGCTTCTCTGGATGGTGGCAATTGCCCCTTTGGAACACCAGCAGTGCCTGTTGTGCACTGGGAGATCCTCAGCACAGGGGCAGCCTCCCCACACCTTCCTCATACATGTCCTTCCTCCTTCCCAGACCCAGCACAGCCCTGGCTTCTCTGCTTTGTGCCTGGATCATCTACACTTTCATAAAGGTGCCTTCCATTGTTTCCAGCAGGACTTTGGGCTGTGTCTACTGTTGCTATCTATGAAGCTAAGATGGAGTTAGGGATTTGTTTGCTTTGCCTTTATGGCTTTACCATGAGATGCTACGTTATTGTGTGTGCCATCTGCCTAACTGGCTCTTCCCTGAGGCTTTTTTCCTTCTTCCTTGCTTCAGGAACAAGCTAGGAAGTGGTGATCCTGTGCTGAGTCCATGTGTCATCTCTTATGCAGTAACTGACTAACAGCTGGCTACTGGCTCTGTAGAACCCAGAGGGTGCATAATTCAATTTTCCCATTCATGTTCCAGTTTCTACTTGGGAATTCCCCTGGGGGATAGATTTGTCTGCTCGCTAACTGCACTCAAGAAAAAGAATCTGAGAGACCAACACACTGCAAAAGGATCCCAAGGAGGAACGGAAATCTTTGCTTGTGAAGGGTCACCAGAAAAGTAGCAGTAGGGTCACAGAATTACCTTGCTCCAAGGAAAAACACATTCTTGCCTTCCATGTCCGGTTTTGTGCTGACAAGCACAAAATCTCTAACTTTGCATATTTGACTTTATGAAAACTGAGAAATTACCTTGGCTCATTTTTTTTTCCTAGGCAAATTGTGCGTGACCCTTACCTTTGTTGTTGCAGAGGCAAAGTAGTAGGCAGCAGTGTACTTTTCCCTGATATAGCTAGTGAGAAAGGACACATATTTCAAGGTGGGTTACAGTATTCCTCGCCTGACTGCAAATTCTGAGATTACTGAAGTAACAAAATTTATCTGAATGTCATGTTATCCCTTGGTTTAATAGAAAATAATTAAGATCTTCGCTGACATTATTAAAGGACATGGGCTTGCTGTCTGGAGCATAAGAAGCTTCTTTTTAATCTCCAGTAAAAATGGACAGCCTTTCTCTGTTAATAAGTATTGCCTACAGTGAATAATCCCATGATCATAATGACTTCTCCGTGCTTCTCCTTGTTCATCCCATTGGCAAATGACAGAGAGTCTGGGATGATTTGCACTGGAGGACTTGAGCTGTGGCAGATAAGCAGGCATCGGTGGAATTCAGGGATGTGTTTGACTTGGTCGCTGCACTGATGCTTCAGTTCCCAGGATGAACTGCACTGGATGGAGGAGTGAAGCTGCACAGGAGCAGCTGCTCTGCTGCTCTTGTGCTGTTTCAGCCAGGAGAGAGGATGCTGGGGAAGTGGAGAGGGAGATCCATGGGTGTTGGAGTACTACGGAGGGGCCCAGGGTGGCTGTTGGTCATGGAATTCAGTCTGGGTTCTGTCCATCATGTCACCTCCTGGGAATTATAGCCTGACTGGGGAGTTTGGCACAGGACCTGGAAATCAGGAATGTGCAATCCACCCTGGTGACTCCACAGTGTGTCCTGCCTCTGGTCACAGGAGCAGGTAATGGGACATAGGACACAAGTGGCTTGGTGTAGACCTCCTGCTTCTCCACTAGCAGCTGTCAGCCAGGGGACTGAGCAGAGACATTCAGTGCTCAAATGCAAGAGCTCTTCATCGTCTTCAGTCCTGTCCATTTGGCTGCCACAGTGTCACAATGAGCCCTTGGCAGAGGGAGTGATTTAGGCTTGGAAAATGGAGATTTATTTCAAAAAGTCCTTTACTGTAATATCTTCCTTCTCTCTGACTGCCCCATGAAAGCATCTCATCATGCAGGAAGTAGCTGAGGCTCTCTGATACTATTCTTTTAAAATCAAAACATTAAAACTACCATGCAATGATTTTCACATTTCCAGGCATCCCTCCCACTGGCATTAATTGCCCCCCTGCTGTTCCTATTCGAATGCTATTTGCTCTTTCTGTATGCAGCCCTTGTTCACTGCTGCACGAAACCTTTGCTGCTTTGCAGTAAAAAAAAGCTTCCACTTGTGCAAATGGCATTGAAATGAGTTTGATGAAGTGGTAACCACTCACATTTATTGATTGCAACTGTTGGGGTTTAGTTTGTTATTTTACAGTTAATTTTGTAGAGGTAGAGGACTTTACAAATTACCTTCTGATGTCAATGAAGTAATACAGCACTCTCATAACAATGTTTGGAAAGTGTGGTAGGGCCACCAAGCCAAAGGCATAAGGGGGTCACATTCATCCAATGTCACTGTGTCCCTTTCCCCTGTGGCAGATCTCCCTCCCATTTTGAAATCTCCCTGTACTTAACAATTCTCCTATTTCAATTAGTGTCTTTGGATGGCAGTTAAGTTTCATGTCCCTTTATTCCCTCTTCCTCTCTGCTTCTGACACATTATTATTCTTACCAGTCACTGCACGAGACCTCCAAACTCCCATAGTCCCCAGAAGTAATTACAGACACATTACTGAGCAAGCCCCACTGGTAGGCTGGGTCAAGTGCTTTATTTTTATCCAGGGCAGCTACCAAAGAGTGTGATTGACTTTTGCTTTCCCAGTAGCTACATGAAAAGACAGGAGTACTTCTGTCACCTGAGCATTTTAGCTGGGGATGGGTCCTCAGCCAACCCTGAAGTACCTGGTACCCAAGTAGGGTTGCTAGTGATCAATATGGAAGGTACAAGGTCCTTGTGAAGATGGATAAAGATGGATAAAGATAGAAAAAGTATGAGGAGTAAATGAGCACAGTTGGACTGTATCTTTGTCTAACACAGGGTTTGATGACCTGCAAGCATGTGCAGATCCTGGGGCTCCTGAACATGGCTACAAGACACCCAGTGCAGGTGTTTTCTTTGAAAGCGTGGTGGTCCGGTTCCATTGCCAAGAAGGATACAGGCTCAATGGTACTTCCAAAAAAATTTGTGTGAGACACTTTAATGGCTCCCTGAGCTGGAAACCCAGTGATAAACCTGTGTGCCTACAAGAAGGTAAGTCAGTTTTCTTCAAGCTGTTCACCACATCAATTCTTCTCACTTGTCCATGTACCATGTATGTATGTCTCTGGACAAAACAAAAGGCTGGAGTCCATTTCACTGTGTCTTATTGGATACATACTTTAATTTTCCATCCATAATCCTCCTTTGTCGGTTAAATTTGTACCATGAGAAGCTGTGTGTGTTGAAAGGAACATAAAGAAATGTGAAAACAGGATTTAACCTCCCCTTTTAACTAGCTACAAATTGATGCAGAGAGGAAAAACAACCTCCATTGTAAGTTATCTGTAATTATTTATTAAAGCTGCCCACTTAATATTCCTTTCTCCAATATTTTACTAGGAAAATAAAATCAATTTCCAATGCTACTGCTTCTGCTAATCAGGCATTTTAAACAATAGTATTTGGTGATGTATGCATGAGTCAAGTAGCAAAAGAGCCTGCACAAGATTAAAGCCAGGGTAGAAGTTTACTCTGCGATAATTCAGACTATTATGGCATAAACCAATTTATTTTTATTGCATATTTGAAACTGTATTTGGTTTTAAATACTTAGGATGTTACATTGCTTTCTTCTTTTAGGTCTTAGAGGCAGGGTTGATTTGAATTTCTTAACTGTAAATTTTGGCCAAAGTACACCCAAGCAGCACAAATTTTTTATTTCACCAAGTATATTAAAGATATAACCTGTCCTTGTTGATTTATTTTTGGACAACAGAGCTATTAAAGTCAACAGACATGAGAAGTGTTGGCTAAATAAAATGTTTACATTTTAGTGTTGTGACTTCTCCACTGAAGACATTAGCCATTCCCTCATTGCCTCATTGTCTTCATGGTGGAACAAGATAAATTCTACTTCAGGTTACCTTTCACCATTTAAAATCGAATAAATACATAGGCTTTGTTCAGAGGTAGTTGAAGACTTATGTGGCTCACAAACACACTTACTGCATAGGATCATGCATCACTTAGTCTTTACAAAAACTGCAGGTACTTGTTTGTGGTCCAGGGTGGGTAGGTGTAAGAATCCTGTGCCAGGACAGGGATATGACATGACAGGGACAAGCAGGGCCTGGGAAGACCACACTCAGGAGCTGCATGTGAAGGGAACAACCCTAAACAGTAGCCAGTGTGAAAGTGGTGCATGAGATATTGGAGAGAGTAGCCAGAGGCAGCTGGTAAGGAGTGCATGGGCTTTCAGGCAGCTAGACTGTTGGCAGGAGAAATTTTGGTTAAATATGTTCTCCTGGACAAGTGTGAGGCCATGGGCTACAGAGTCATGAGGGACACAGTGAGCTGTCCCATCAGATGACAGCTGATATCTAGAAATAAAGGCAAAGGGGTGCCAACAGCACCTAATCATATGGCCACATGAGTCAGCTTCTAAGAAATAACCTAATGCCTTTAAAAATAACTATGTATGGAAATCGTGCCCTCTTCTGACAGCCACTTTTCATAAACTACATTGTCTCTTATCTCATTGTTATTTAAGAAAAAATACATATAGAGTGACAGCAGCCTGTGTCTAAATTGGCTTTTGGAACTACCAGAAAAAGCTTTAATGCTTGGAAATTCTGTTCCCTTTAAGCATAGCAGGAAGCTAGGAATGTTGATGTGCATCTTTGAAATGTTGCCTGTATCATCCACTGCAGTTGTTAAAATAAACATTAATGTTTTTTATTAAATATTCAAACCTCTTCCCTCCAGCCCAGTGGAAATCTGTGGAAGAAGTTTCTGATCACAATGCCATCAGCAACAAAACTGCCACTAATGTCAGTGTGATCAACACTCAGGCCAGGTGTTTTCAAAAAATAATGAAATTGGAAGATGAGAATGTGATGGATGAGGTGACAACAGTTGCTTTGGAGATAATAATGACTTTCCAGCATAGAATGCTTAAAAAGGATTGCTAGCCAATTCTCTGATCAAGCAAAGCACTTAAGCTGGAGCATATCTGTAATTATGTGATTAGTCTTGTTAAAGTTCTGTGCTCAAAATTAGGCAGATGCAAAAATGCTTCTTACTACTTGGATCAAGGAGTAGGACCCTGATTTAGGATTTAGTGAATCAAGTGCTTAACACTGATTAACATTATAATAATACCTCAGGTATTAGATTACAGCATTAATTCTTCTTTTCAATGCACAATAGCAGCACTGATTCAGAAGAAATACTAAGCAAAGGCTCAGTGGCAGTCCATGAGGTCTAGGCATTGGCTTAAGTGATTTTTAGACTGATCCTTTTGCACACTGGGAGCAGAATATTGAGAGAGGCTCATCATTGAGGGAGGCAGACAGTGTAGGAATGTGGCACATCTGGAGATGAGTTAAGAGAATTACAACAGGGTTTGTGATTCTCAGCTGTCTAATGACATACATAAAAGTCTTCATTGCAGAAATTCTGTAATGATACATAGAAAGAAATTTGAAATTTCTAGCAATTGCTGGAGAAGTGAGAAGTTGATGATTTCCCATTCATCATTACCTATCACAAGGTAAAATAAACTTTATGCTGCATTTACGGTGGGGGCTGGCTGCTCCGTGGGCTATGGTATGCTCTACATGCTTCTCATCCCAGCATATATAAATGCCAGGCAGCGCCAGCTGAGCTTGAACAGTGAAAACAATCTGTAGTTTGGAGTTAATTTACTCTCAGGAGCTTGGATTTGGAGGAGGATAATTTTATGTCTATATGTTATGTACGTTTAATTGTTGTTATGTGTTTACTAGCACAGTTTCTAATCACAAATGGATGCTATTTACCAAAGGAAGCAAAGCAACCTGTTTCAGAATGTAATTGATTTTAGATCTAATAAAATTATTAGAGCTGGAGCTCTTCACCCAATCTATTTGATTTTATAAGCCTGTCATTTCTTGTTTAGAGGCAGGAGATTTTAAGTGTCAAGATGAGAATGAAGTTGCATGACTTGGTGCCCAATAAATGCCCTGTCAAAAATCTGTATGTCAAAAATCTTATGTTCTTATGTTGATCTACAGCATGGTGTAACTATCTTTCATCAGCTCGAATACAGTTATGCACATAAATACCAAACCTCTGAGGTAGGAATTTTGTATTTACTGTTTAAGAGCAGTATGTCATGTTGTTCACATTTTAATCTAATCTTCTCCCACTGTGATAATGTGGCTGCTGAGGCTGTTGTCTTACTTGGAACAAATGCTAGCTCTTTCCTATGAGATTGAATCTAAATTTACAATTTGCATGGAGATGGCATCGAAATGAAGAGCTGTGCCCTCCTCTCCCCATGCTTCTGCAGGCAGACAACCTTGGAGATGTCCTCAGTGCCTCATTCTCCCAATTACAAGGATGATAAACCTGCAGTGAAAGTAGTGGACTAGTACATGGTTTGGCTACAGCTTTCCTGTAGGACATTTAGCCCGCCATTTGCTTTGCCTTTGTCCCTGAGTCTGTGAGATGACTGAAGTATTTTTATTATTCCATCTCTTATCTGTCTTGCCCAGTGTTTGTTGATTCTTAAACCTGGTTATGAGCACTCTGTGATATTTGTAACCAGGCCACAGCTCAATGGCTGCAGATCTTAGGTGAAATCTCTCTGCACTGTTGAAATACAAGCAAAGACGATAAAAAGAGATGGTTATTTAATATGCACTAAAATACTGTGTTTGCTGTCCACAGAATAATCCTAATAACACAGAACTGTGGATTTAACACTAGTAAAAAAAACAAGGGACAATATTGCTCTTAAATGCTTACTTTTAAGAGAACAGTGTGTAGATGAGCTGTCCCTGCATCAAACCAGTTTTTCATTATATTCCTTTCATCCTTCCTCCCTGTTTCTCTCTGTTCCAGCCTGCCGGTGGTGTGACTCAATGTAGTCAAGGTTAATTGAGAGTGAGACTTGTCCACAGTGAGATACACAGGAGTCTCAGACCTTTACATTTGAATTTACATACAGATAGCAAAAAAAACATTGCCAGAGCAGGGATTGGGACACAGTTCTTCAGTTGTACACACTCTTACAGTATTGTAAAAGTCCTTGACATAGTTTGGAGCAATGGCAGTACTCCCAAGTAAATCTTCCAGCACCTTCTTGGATTAGCATGGATATGGGATAATTTTTGGATGGTAAGGGCTCACCTGCAATAGATACAAGCCATCCCAGGCCAGCTGGTACCCATGGATGCTGTGGCTATCTCCATGGTCTCTAGCTCATGCGTTCCTTCTAAGTTGTTGTGTGGTCCAAGAGGAGATAGGATTATCTTCCTTCCCCATGGGGTAGAATGAACAGTTCCAAGAGGTTCTGCATGGTTTGCACGTGAGCAAAAGACTCTAACTATATTGTTTAATAAATTTTATTCTTCAGACCAATCTTCTGTGACAGGGACACACTTGGTTTGCTAAAGCCAAGAGTTCCTAATGTACAAATCTTCATGAAAGTTAGGGCAATGTGAGCCCTTGTGCCTGTCAGGCTGTTGAGCCTGTTGGCTCTACCCCACCTGCTTCTGCCCTTGCAAGATAAGAAATGTGTCCTTTTGGCTGGCCCGTTTTAATACGCACACAGTAGATATAAGCAGATCATGCCAGAAAGGAGTGTAAGTCATAGCCTTTGTTGCTCGATGCTGGTTAAAGACTGTATATTCCCTTAAATGGTTTTGCAGTTTCCATGGATTTGCTGAGAAGGACTTAGAATAAAGTAGTTTATTTTCTAGGACAGGACATTTTAAAATTCAGTCATTTCCTTCTAGCTTTTCCAAGCAGAATTAGTGCCAGCTAATCCAGTTGTTTGTGGAGAGGTGGCTAATGCAGTTTATGCCTGAGTGCTAAATATGAATTCAGCTAGTGGGAAAGCATTTGCTTGCAAGGCATCAGGAAAAAGAGCTGTAATGTTGTGGTCCATTGGTCTGGTGTTTAGCTGGAGCTTGTAATAAGCCTGTTATCAGAGTCAGCCAGGATGTGGCAGGTGGAGTACAGCGCAGTGAGCAACGTATTGCCGTTCTCTGCCAACATCTACCTGATTAAAATGATCCCATCTACAGCTGTTCCTTGGAATAATAGGGATGGAGTTGCTGTGATAGATCATTGTTACAGAATCAATTTCCCCCACTTTGAAAGGGAAATCTCATGTTTTATTGTGCTGTGTGTACACACACCACCTTTATTTGTATAGCAACAGAAAGACGTGGTAGAAAGAGAGGGAGCTGTTCACTGACATTATCTTCTAGCATCCATCTCCAGTCTCCTGCTGCGTGGCTGCCAAGCAGGTTCTCCATCTATCTCATCCCATCCTTATGGGGTGCCCGGGACAGCCTCTTCATGACAGCATTTATGGCTTAGTAGTATAAGGCATTTCTTCTGAGGCATCCTCTGCCTTCTTCTCTGCTGATTAACTTTATATATAGAGAGAAAACTGTTCCATCTTTGCAATAATGTCTGCATCCTTGCCAGCGTATTTTACAACCTCCAGTTAGGGCATGGATCCTCCCAGACTTGTGCGTTTATAAATAAATAAATAAATTCCAAGAAAACTTCTTGCTGCAGTTTCTCAGCCTGCCTGGCAGGCTGCCAGCCCTTCCTGCTACCAGCAGCAGGAGGCATCTACAGCAGCTGCCAAGAAGCTATAAAGTAATAAGATAAATTGAAGAATTTTTAACTAATAATGTGCTCAGGCCTCATACCAAAAAATTAGCTAAATACAATGTTTTTTAGAAACATCCCTGTGATGGGAAGTTACAAAGTATATTTTAACTGGGGAAGGAACACTGTCCCCCTTCAGGTTAGTAAAATTTAGTGACGGCGTCTCAGTTTGCCTAGTTTGCCTAATTAATAAAAACATTACAAAATACATTTGCTCTTAGTAGTTTGTGAGTGCTGTGCTTAATGACAGTTTATCTTTCTTCTACTTGTGCTTCAAAACAAACAAGCTGTCACTATCAGTTTGCTTAGTGCATACTGAAAATTAATTGCTAAATACAAATTCAGCTTTGCCTCTTCCTCTTTGACAAGAATTACCCATGAAAATGGCAGATACTTTCTCTTCTATGCAAGTCTCAAGGGATTTTTTTTTCTTAATAAATACAGTATTCCTAAATGAATATAATTGTCTCTCATGGTAGAGGTGTTGGGGGTATAAAACAGAATAACACAGGCTTATAATATTTTTTCTGTCTTTCTTGTGTTTGAAATACTTCTTAGTTTTTGATGCCTGGAAGCTTTTATTATCATCTCTGTCATGGATTGACTGCTGGCAGATAAACAAAATTTTTCTCCCAATGTCTGTTTCATCTTGTTTCATCTCACTTTGCCTTTGTGAGGAGGATGAACTTTGAGTCACTCAGATTATTCCCTCAGACCCTCTTGGCTTTTTTCTCAATTATTCAGTATTACTAGGGGATTTTCTCCCTGCTTCCCCTTTCCACTTTGTACATCTTTCAGCGTTCTGAGTTTCGTTCTGTATTTTGATGTCTTTGGCACTGGTACCTAGAGTGAGATCTGTGACTGTCTGATGCATGTGTCGCAGTCAGGCACTAGGGCCCATCCCTGTATATCACTTCAGGTTTGCAGTCCCTTCTTGAGAATTTTCTACAAGCACTTGAGATGCTGCTCAGAGCTCGAGATGCTAAAAATCATGCCCTCTAAAGGCATATGAGTGCAGGCACACAAAACTATCTGGTTTAAAACATAATCAAGGAAATTAAAGTGAAAGCATTCTCATCATAAACTCTGTGGAATGGACCTCTATAAACCCTTGTAAATGTACCTGATTTTCATCTGTCTCTCTGCTAAAACTGCAGCTTTTCTGTGTTCCTCATGCCATATCTGTATATGATCTTTTCTTTCATCCCGTCCTTAGCGCTGTCAGAGTTTGCCTTCGCATGGAACCTTGGGATAGTCAGACTTTGGGGTATAATTGCACACATGATGAATGGAAGGCCAAAGTGAACCACAGCCTTCCTAAAGGCTCCTAATTTTATTGATTTTAAAAAGGCTGGGGGAACAATTCATTATTGTAGCATGTCAGCTTCTCCTACCATGCCATAGACTTTGTAAAATAGTGATTTTACGAGGGAAAAGGCACTTTTACTGAAATACATGTATTTTCCAAACAGTTTAAACAGAGCACTTATATTGAATGCTTACTTCTGTTTAAGAGCTTGATTACTGAACAGCTAGCTATGTTTTTTAAATTAAGTTGCTATTTCTTTTTCTTATGAAGTCACAGATTGCCCTGTTCCACATGTTGAAGATGCAGAGGTTCATAACAAGACATACAGGACTGGCGATAAGTTAATAATCACCTGTCATGAAGGATTCCAGATCCGTTACCCTGACTTAGACAACATGGTTTCCATATGCCAAGACGATGGAACATGGGATAATCTACCCATATGTCAAGGTTTAGTACTCCAGCACATCCTGTTTTATAGCTCATGCATCTTGTGATAGTTTGCCAATATTTTTTCCTGCAGTTGTAGGAATGTAAGTGATCTGATAAGTTCCACAGTGCAGTGTTTGAGTAGTGCTGCTGCTAAGATTTTTTTTATTTGCTCACTGCAGGAAAGATGTTGCTTCCTGAACATTCCCACGCTTATAATACTACTTTAAATACTGCTTTTTTTATTTGCAAAGCTCAAATCTGACACAGATTCACTGCATCAGAAAGTAAAAAACAATCAAGGTAATCAGTCTGAAGTTCTGATGAGCATCTTGCATTTTTTCACCAATTAATTTGTGGAAATATTTAAGCTTCTAACTGCACTTTATCTTCCTTTACCTTGTGTAAAAGGCAAGGCTAGAGGAGAGAAACTGGAATCTGTTCTTCTGTCAGAGTTTTCAGCAGAGCTGTTGATTAGATTCACAATCCATTAAACTTTTATACATTGACTGAAAATTCAGGGTGTGCACAGGGATGATTTTGGCCAGAAAAGCCATTAGTAGAACTAGAAATATCAACAGCATGGGATCCCAGCTCAGCTTAGACTGAGAAATGGCAGGGAGTAAACCAGCTTTAGTGAGTGGAAATTCAATAACCCTGGGCTCCCTTTCCCTTCACATTTCTAATAAGCACATCTGAGTACCACTGACTCTGTTTTAACCAAGTTACGTCTAGGTAACAAGCTTGGCCCACTGAACAGCAGCAAGAGATTTTAACTGAGGAGCAGATTGGGTTAGTCCCAACTTTCTTCAAAGCCATCTGTCCCCTTATAGAGCTAACACTTCTCTGTAGACACTTAATTACACTATCACACCAATTTGCAGAGTCAGGGCAGGCAGGCAGGGGAGCTGAGACACTTCTCAGGAGCAGTAGCACATCAGACTGTCCCCCAAGATCCTGCCCTCCATTGCAGCAGAAACTTAGACATATTACCAGGTTAACTCAGCATTTTAGATGCACACATTGTATCTGAACAGGCCTAACAGCAAAGGCAAGGTTTTGCAAAACCATAGCAAAGCAGGCGCCAGTTTTGGGGTGTCTTGTCAGCAATGGCGTCATGTGTGACAGTATGAAGTGTACAGCTCCTTTCTGTGGGGGTGCACTTCACATCTAATTTAGGTAGATTAAAACTTTTGCAGTAGGGGGAGATGAATGCTTAAAAGATTGATTTGTAGATGCTGTATTTGCCAAAGATCCAGGGGCAAACTTTTTGGCAGGCAATATTTACTAATTAGCAGCAGTACCCCAAATATTCCTTGGTTTGTTACTTCTGTTGCTGTGTTTATACTGTGAAACACAATAAATTACTCCTCCTACTCAATAGCCAATATTAACTGCTTTTCAAAATAAAAGCAGTGCTAATAAAAGTTAAGAAATCAATTGCACAAGACCCAGGTGCTGTGATTACTGGATAGGCAGAGAATAGGCAGTTCAGATTCAAGACCCTGCCGTGTTTGCCAAATTCCATAAAGTTACTGCAGAATTCCAGAATTTTCTTTTTGATATGTCATGCGCTGCTAAGATCAAAGTCACTCGTCTACTTTGCTTTAGGTAGGCTGTCAGTTACATTCCTATGGCCCTTTCATTACAGAAGGCAGGGGAGTCTTAGGACACTAAGATGCCATTTTTTCCTGCCAGAGCAGTGGGGAAGGATTGTGGAGTATATAAGAATCTAACCTCTGTTTTTGCCATGAGATAATAATACTAATTACTGGTCTGGAAGGATGTTACTTAGCAAAAAGATGTCAAAATGAAGTTTTTCAAGCAGTGTTTGGAGACCTAGGAATTTTCACAAATGCTTGGCTGTCATACAAATTAAAATAAATCTCTGTCCTACATGACCAGGAACAAAATGAGCATTAAAATTCTGAGCCAGCAGGACCAAATTTTCCCTGATACAGTTCAAAGATGAGTAAGTTTGGTTTTGCTTGGGCAGTCTGTGCTCTTTCTGTCCCACTGGGGGCTGCTTATGTCATCCTGCTCAATGGGCTGCTCAGTTTGCAGGAATTAGTGTGGTGTGTGCGGGGCATTCTTGATCAGGGTAGAAGCAGCAGCCAGCAGATAGGATGCTTGAAGCTTTATTTGAGAGGGACATAACCAGCTGCTTCAACAGCTACTGAAATCATTGGTGTGGTGGTACAGCATGCTGCAAAAAGCTTTCAAGCTTTTATTTTATTTTCTTTCGGGTTTGTTCCTCTCCCTCAAAAGACCATTGCAAGGAAATGGCTGCTTGAAATGCAGATTTTTGTTTTAAATGCCAATGCCTTAAAAGAAGTTCTCAGACTGATTTTTTTTCCTCCTCTAGCTTAAAATTATGGGAGTCCTATGAACATCCTTCACAAATTCCTAGTAGTGACGAGACCCATTTATGGACTGCCATAATGCAGCTTCTGTTAGTCGCATAATTCTAAAATATTACTTGTCATTCCATGATTGCTAGTTATATTTTCTCCACATTATTGCAAATTAAAAAATTAAACAGTATCAAGCATTACCCAGAGGGTCATTTCTAGGGCCATGAGGAATGGACATGTTATAAAGACATGCCATCTGTTAAATTCACTGCTCTTGGTTGCCCCAAATTTTGGTTGGTGACCATTTAACTGTCACTGCTCAGTACCAGCTATGATACAAATCCCTCAGGAGTAATTCCAGAAGTAGAACTGGAACATAGTCTCTGATTCTGACTACATTTACAATTTGTGATGATAACAGATACCTTAACTTTTTGATAACCTAGTCTGAGACCTTGCTCAATGTTTATCATGGGACTGCTCCTAGGAAGTCATGTCCCTTTAGACTTTCTCAGACTAGAATTTCAAAGTCCTTAATTCTGCCTGCAAATATTTTACAGTTGCGTGCACTTTGTCACAGGAGCGGTTTTAATATTTAAGAGAGTTTACACGCCTGTCATTTTTTAGGAGGAAGAATAAAACCTACCATTTATATAAATGACAATATTTATTTATTAAAGATTCTATCTCAAAAAGAGATTGCCATCTGCTGAAATGGTGAATATTTGTTAAACAAAATACTGTCAGTTTCGGAAAACCTTTTCTGGATTTGTTGAGAGTGAAGCCCATGCTAGCAAAGTGTGTGGGCTAAACAACAAAAGGGTTTGAAACAGCATAATGAGGGAGATCTATCTGGGGGAGATAGTGCAAACATGCCATTCATAATGGAGAGGATGAAAAATATCACACTCCTCAACTGAGAAACTGTAACTGAGATGTGTGAAGATGACTGAGATAAGCAGTTGATAATAAAAGACACCTCCCTCTTCTTAATTTGCAGGTTGCCTTAGGCCGTTGGTTCTTCCTCATAGTTACATTAACATTTCTGAGTTCGGGGCCTCCTTCCCGGTAGGAACAGTGGTGTATTATCAGTGTTTTCCTGGATATAAACTAGAAGGGGCAGAGATCCTTGAGTGCATGTATAACCTTATCTGGTCACATAGCCCACCTAGGTGCCTTGATGTGGAAGGTAAATGCCTTACTGTTTGTTTCTCTTTCCGGTTTGCAAGACCTGCATGCTCTCTGTGGTTTTAACTCAGGGCTGTAGCCACGGTTCCATTTTGAGTGATATTCCCACTGGCTGTGCAGAGCCCGTGTGTGTTCTGATGTGTTCCTGCTGTGCTTCACTGCACCCTCAGCTCGTGGTGTTCCCAAGTAGTGTTTGCACTCGCAGTGTCCCAATGCAAGAGGGAAAGATCCTAATGTTTGCTTTGCCTTTAAAATGCGAACTCTCTGCCGCCTTTCTGATCAAAACACTGAGGAAGTTACATAACTCACCTTCCTGTGCAGATGGTCACAGTTCCTACACATATGGATAGATTTCCATGATCAGCTAAAAAAATACCCCACAGAAACCCTTGGTTTGGGCTGGGCCAGCTGCAGTCATTACTCAGCGCCACACAGTGCTGCACACTCAAGTATTTGCTGACTCCCTTAGCAGTTAACCTTTAAGAAGGATTGACAACTGAAAAACAACTGAGCTAATTTATTGATGAGGAGCATAAAAACCATTCATTGTGAAGCAGGTAGATCCCACCGAGCCAAAAGGAAAAATCTGTGATTGGAGGGTGTTGTAGTGTGTTTGTATCTGCATCCCAGACATTTAAAACAGTTATACTGATGGATTGCTCCACACATTGCCAAAACTGCATAAACTACCCTCCTCCATCTTCACAACTTGAATGAAACATCCTAGAGACTCTTGAGAGTCTAAATACCTCCTCTGCATTTCATGCCCCTAAAAAAACTACATTTTTGTTCTATCTCAAGCCTGTAAGGAAGCTCTCTATATATAGAAATTAGCTAGAAGCAATTATAGGAATTCATATGTGATGCTTATGTCACTGAACTAAATGCTAAGCATTCTGGAGGTGCAAAAATTTGCCAAAAGCATCAACAGAGTGACAAACTGCACAAAAATAATTTAATTATCCTTATATTTAGCTGACAGTTCAAGTTCCAAAATTAAAAAATGCCTTTGCAATTTTGGAATGAGAAGACACGATGATTTTTTTTGTTGTTTGTTTAGCTCACCATGAAAGATTAATCCTCAATCAGGTCTATGTAAGCCATTTTTGGAAAGTGCGTTTACTGTTGTTTATAACATGGAAAGCAGATTAAAAAATCAGAAGGGTCCTGTTAGGCTTAATCCAAACAATATATCTGATTTGAGAAAAATGACAGTTATCCAGTTAGAAAGATAAAAGCATGAAACTCAAGCATGTGACGCAGGAAAAATTGTGTCTTACTGTCACTTAACACAGGTGAGCATCCCAGCTGCTATCAAAATACCCAAGAAAACTCATGTGCTCATTGTTTCTTGCTTGTATGATGAAGTCATAGAAAGCCTCTTTTTCTTGATAATTTAAAACATGAGGCAGGAACTTCTGCCCTGACAGTTCTGTATTTTAAATTACATGTCAAAAATTATCATTCCCACTCAACTATGATGATCTGTGATGGGGGGATCGGTATGTGCCAAGGCCATTGGGGAGACCTCCTGAGTTCTGATTTCGATTCAGCCTCCCTTTGAATCACTTTCTTACTGTACTCTTTAAATGCCAAAACTTCCCATGGTGGTTTCATGTATGCATCCCATCAGTCCATTCATTCAGTGAACCAGAGGAGACCAAATCAGGAGCACAACACTTGCAAGAGCTGGTTCTGCTCAGCTTTGGGGGGAAAGAGAGAGCTTCCAGCAGCACTGAAAGGGAACTCCTGACAGCTCCTCTTGTGAACTTTGCTGTGGGGCTGCTTCAGCAGGTGTGCAGTGATCCAAAATTAATCCAGATAGGGTAAATCAACTCAAGATGCCCTTGTATGAAAGTGCTTGTTCAAGAGATTTATGCAAGGAGTGTCAGGCTCCAGGAATCTTGTTGCAATCCACTACTGTTAATTAGTGGATAAAATTCCTTTCCTGCATATTTTTTTATTCTTCACCTTGCATTCTGGTGTCAAGCATTCCTTTTATGTGTGCAGTGTGATCTTGCCAAGTAATATTTTGCACAGGGTAAATCTGCAAATAACAAATTCCATTTATTTCTTTCTGTGTTCAATCTGTTAAAAATTTAACAGATATTGTAATTTCCTACTCAGTATTTTAATATGGTAATGATTAACTACAGCTAAACCATTTGAGAGTTGCTATTCTCCTGTAAACAATGCTGCTTACAGCTTCCTCATTTAGATGTACGTTCTTGTTGAAGCCTCCACAGAAGGGATTTCCTAAATTTGTGTGTAGTCATAAAAATACTATAAATCAATCTGGAGAATTTTTTCCTCTTTGTTAGGTCAAATAAATTCTGAAAGAAGGCGTTGTAGCTCTATTTAGTAAACAGAAGATCACACCAGGGACCACGCAGCTCCTATTGCACATCAGGCTTTCTAATGATTCCCAGCTTTACTCTCAATATTGGTGAGCACAGAGCTTCCACCAGCTCAGCTGAGAGATTAATTTTTGCTGTTAGGGAAGGAAGTTTGTTTTTTTTTTTCTGATTAGTGAAATTAGTGCTGCTCTAGTCAGAGCAGAGCTCTAGTCAGAGCAGAGCATAGAGACTGTGTCACCTGGCACTGAAGTGCAGTCACTTCAGGGCAGTGGTTATGGTTCTGGCAAAAAAGGATGCCTCTAGCTCAGATTGCCAAGTGCTTACTGGTATGAGATCCTCTTCTTAAATGCTGGTACCTTTGCCAGATTTAAAACATTTGGATTGACTTTTGAGTGTCAGCCTCAAGCTGAATCATTTGGGTGGCTTCAGTTGAAATGGTTGAGCAATATCAGAGCAGTAAAGGAAAGGAAACAGTGTTGTTTTACCAGTTCTAGAAAATTTTGCGGTCACTTAGATGAATTATCTTCACATTGAATTTTCTTATTCTTTAACTTTCTTAATTTCCTTTTTTTCTAGTGGAATTCCACAATTATGCAGAAACATTTTAAACCTTCTGTACTGAAACTCAATAGTCACTTCCAAGAAAATGGAAGGAAAATGGGCTTTGGGTTTCTTAATATGATTTTTAAATTACCAATTTGGGGTTAATTATCCATCTGTAGAAACTGATGTAAGTGATTTCCTTCTGTAAAATCTGGTATGCAAAATATGGGTGCAGAATTTATGAGTGGAGAATACCATATGGGGTATAAATATTAATTGTAAAATAAATCAAACTGCTTCCAAAAACATCAGAGGAGAACAAACATTTGAAAACATATCTGTATGAAACTCTGTGAAATGAAACATTTAAAACCAGGAAATGTTTAGGATATGATACTTTTAAGTGAATTAAGATATTACAGAGGATTTTGAGAAAAACAAAAACAAAAAAACCAAAACAAACAAACAAAAAAAGAAACAGCAAAAACCCTGAAGCAAAGAAACCCCAAATCAAACTGAGAAAAAAAAAAAAAAACCTTGGCTCTGAGTACTTTGGGAACATGATCTGCATATGATTACATTCCTTGCCATCTGGAGTTTTAATTTTTTTATGCTCTCTGGAAATTTTCCAAGGAGATGTAAAGGATAGTTCTTATAAAGAACTGGGTGGGGAGTGGCAAGAGAAGCAGATAAAGAGAGGAAGGGCTGGGAGAATTTGATTATAGTGCCAGAAAATAAAGCAGTTGTATGGATAGTGTCATTGGGAATTCCCAGCTTTATATTTAAAAGGGAAAACAGGTTGATTCAATTTGCAAACAATACATGTTCCTGTTATCTAGAATGTCTTGTTTCAGCATCATCCCAGCTGAACAGAAAAGCTGGTCTTGCAATAAATCAAATATGTTGCAATATCAAAACTTCATTCTCTTTGTGGGACCAGCAGATTCTCTAGCGGAAGTTAAGTCTGACAAAAAGTAAAACTGAAAATTTCAAATTTTTGTAGGTAGATTCAAAATTAAAATGAAACAAACATGAGGAATAGACTTCTAGGGGGAGATTCATTAAACAGAAAATAGTAAAAACACAGAAAAAAACTGAAGGTATTTCCAAATTCTGGAATATAAACCCACCTAATTGTGAGGGTAAATTAAAAGATACATACAAAGTTAAGCAACCACAAAGTTAGTGACAGGATTCTGAAAATTATGGAAACTCTTGAAGAAAGGTAGGAGAAGGAAGGAATTTAGAAATTTTATACAAAGTCAGAAGTGGAAGGGAACCCAACCCCCCTTGCGTGGGCACCAGGAGATTTCTGGAGAATAAAAAGGGCTAGTCAGATGAAAATCCAAACCAACAAAATGCTGCAGAGAAAAAAAAATACTCTGGAAAGAAAGGTAAGAATACAGTTTTAAAATTTTTCTTCTCATAAGCCTGGGGATAGACACTCATAGAGAAGGGCTGATAATGCTGACTTAGAATCTAGAAAGTAAAGGGTATGACAGAAGAGGGTGATATTACAGATGAAGTGCCATAGCCTTGTAATAGTTCAAAACAAAATAGCTGAAACTTTGTAACCAGCTATGTGCAGGACACTTTGAAGGAAAGCTTCAGAGATCTATATTCTTCCATAACAATTCCTAATGCTATGAGCAGTAATTGACACTGAGCTGTCTATCTGATAAACTAGGCACTTATAATCTTTTAAATTCTTGAAGGAAGATAGAGCAACAGTCTGAGAAAAAGCAATAGTAGTCACCTGTAATCAGTTATGTTCAGCAGACAGGAGGAAGTAAGCAATCCTAAGCCTCAGATGTTATACATTGGTACAAATGGATTTCTCTCTGTGTTTCTCTGCTGACTTTGAGAAGGCTTTAGATAAATTCCAGCATGACAGACTGATGTGTATCCTCAGGGATGATAATGTTGATGCAGCACATCTCCAACAGACAGAAGTCCTGTAGAGGGAGCAGAGGATAGCAATACAAGCAAGTTATAAAACAGTGTGGTATTGAGAAATTAAGTGAGGTAGATAATCAGGATTCTGTTTTACGTTTGCAAGCACTCATCTGGCAGGCAGGAGGGAGAATAAATTAAATACTGC